TACTGAGTTATGCGGAAGAGGTTTGGCATGTGGAACTAGAACAATCTACCCCGGTGGATGAAATAAATCACCTGAAGAAGGCCTGAGCGTACAACGGCCGAAATGCTGTGAACATGACAACAAAGATGAGGACAACAGCCCGAACAATGTAAATAGTGTAAATATATACAAACCAATTTGATTAATATGAAACGACTAAGACTTTCTGTTCAATTTGTTATTGTATTTTTCGAATAAAGTGTTATGTTTTGGGATCGATAATGTGGGTAAATTGTTCGAAGTTCACATTTAGACAGATTAAACACAATTTCGATCCCAATACATATCACCTTATTCGAAAATTGGAAGACGTACAGAATCTTTGCATCAATAGTCGCCATAATAAAAAATAAATAAAATAAACAGAGAGAACAGATATTTTCTGCTTCATATATATATATATATATATATATATATATATATATATATATATATATGAATATAAAATATATATATATATATATGAATGATAAAATATATATATATATGAATATATATATATATATGAATGATAAAATATAGTTTTAAGGTATGGTATTTAAATTAAAACTGCTCAGTATCAAGGATAGAGCGCCTGTGAATATAAATGTGGACACATGACTTATGGTCTGAAGATTTGGATCAAGTACAAATCAAGATGTCGCTTCTCGGTGCTGACCAGTGTTAACTTTCACACACACAAACACGTGTGTGTGTGTACTAGACTAGAAGCCGCCATTCTTCGTCCAGAGTCCTATGTAAGTAAAAGTTATAAGAATTCAGAAATATTCAATTTACTTCTTCTTTATTCGACACTTTAATTCGACATAATCTTTCTTCTTATACGCAACCGGTTTCTGTAGTTTGTTTACATATATTTTACGCGCAATTTTTATTTTCTTTTAAAATCACCATTCTTTATGATCGCTTCACATAAATTCACACTTAAAAGATATTAGGGAACCCGAACTATATAATATTTTCACAGTAGGTTTGTGAGAAAAAGAAAAAAAAAACACATGAGCAACGTACCGTGCCCAGCTTAAGTTCTAATTACGGTTGAATTAGATAATTGCATTTTTGATGAAATTAAAGTTAAAACCTTTAATAAAGAATTGTTTCTTTTTAAACTTTCACTCTGTTAAATATTGAAATTTAACTTTAAATGACTTAGTTTTTTCTTGTTACTTCACGTTGTTTATGATTCGTCGAGATCAGAAAACGGACGGAAGGACCGACACACGTACACTGCGCTATATATATATATATATATATATATATATATATATATATATATATATATAAAACAACAGCCACCTCCGTTAATACAAAACGCTTCAGTAAAATGAATTGGAACACTTTGGCTGATTGGCATTTGTTTACATTCGTGAAAACAATACGCTAGATTTAGCTACTAATCTTTGTTGAATAAAGAGAACTCAGTGGTAGAAACTCTAACTGACAACAAATCAGTTTGGTTTCAATTCGGACTTAAAGCATTCGGATATGTAGTCCCATTGAGGAGCTGCAGAAACAGTTTTGTTTGCAAATAAGTTTATATATATATATATATATATATATATATATATATATATATATATATATATATATATATATAACTAGACTCGTTCGAAAAACCCTCAATTTTTGATTTGCTAATCAAATCAATCTCGAGGGAAAAAAAGGTTTTAAAAAAGAAAGAGCTACAAACATGAATTTCTGCCGACAAAAAAATCGCACAGATGCAGGTCTGAAGCCCAAAGAAAAAACCCCGATACGAGTAACAACTAACAAAAGAGCTCAATACAGCCGTAGAGCAGAAATTCTCAATGTATGTAGACATAAAAAATCTTGGCTACTAAATTAGACGTTTTCCCGTTATTGACTTTCCACTGAGGAATTTTTTTTTGTTTGTTGAATAAATATTTACCCCCCCCCCCACACACACACTTAGGTCGTTTTGTTTTTTGTTTTTGTCACGTGGTATGATTTTAGCTATCACCTATAAATATGTGTTTCTCTTTGCCTCGTTAGCCAAACTTTCCCTGACGATCAGTTTAGGTGAAACCTAGGTAGGTTTGTCTGGCTCACTAGGTGTATCTATATATATATATATATATATATATATGTGTGTGTGTGTGTGTGTGCGCGAAAGTGTTCTTTTTGCAAATAAGATTTGTGTGTAAGACTAATAAAATATGAACTTACCATAGCAAGGAAAAGTACACTCTCTATTACAGACATCTATATTTGGATTTCCATGTAGGCATGGAGCTAGAACAAAGAGAAAAACAATAAGCCTGTTATTTTCAGACACGTAATCAATCAAAATGTAAATGAATTTTGCTAATGTAATATCTCAAGTACACGACAGTAAAAGCTGACTTTTTAAAGGAGACAAGTTTTTTTTCCAAGTTTTCAGCAAAACGTCCTGCAGTCTGTTTTTTTTGTGTGTGTTTCTACTAATACATTTCACAGATACGAGTCATATTCTTCCGACATTTTTTTTTTATCCGACCTCCATTTGACCAAAACATCAAGCATAACAACGTAAGATACATCGATGAACCAATGCTGATAGTGGACATAGAAGAAATTCTGCAAGAATTCCTAGACATGGTAGCAGAGGAAAGCGGGAAGAATGTACTATCTGTTGTAAACGGGAGGAAAATCCCAAGCTACGAATTAGAGATGTTAAAACAAGCAAGTAGATAAATTTAACTATACAAGAATTGTTTTAACAGACAATGGAATGTGACGAAGAAGTTTGAATGTGCACTGAAATAGTGAAAGATGTCTTTCAAAAGCTAAACAAAGCAATAAGTTACATGAGAATTTCATTAGAAACAAAGAAAACAGTGCTGAACTGCTAAGTGATTTTCGTATATAGCTATGAATACTGGACAATTTCCTCGCAGATGTGATATTCAGTTATGTAATAAATCTACCTTTGTCTGGTACAAAGCCATAAAAATAGGACACCTTTTAAAACGAAACTCACTAACCTAACAACTTGGCCTGCGTGACTAAATGGTTAATTGTGGCACTAAGCCAAGCACCGAAAAATATCTTCATCGGATACAAGGCCACAGATGCAGAGCATTTAGTGTGGTTTAAATTCATACAGATGTAATATTTCATTAGACTAGCTAGTTAGGTATAGTCATATGAACAGACTTGATCATGTTATGTTGCATGTTGTCACTAGAGCCTAGTGGCCTATTGGAAATTCTTCAGGCTCCCAATGAGGCAATGCAGACTGAACGACAGACAATTTTCTTATGTTTCTTTTCCTCACTTTATTTCAATGTGTGTGGGGGATACCAGTAGTGTGTGTGTCTAGTTAAGGAATACATTATTTCGGTGTGTGTGTGTGTGTGTGTGTGCGCGCACTAGGGGAGAGTGATGACGAATATTAATAGGTTCGGCATCGTCTTGTCATCACCATGTGTTTAATTGTCTTAGTTTGCCATGTTATTTATTCGCAATTACAAGGCTACACTATTTTATTAATGGCACCATATTGACGCGTTTTCAATCATGGTAAAAACTCATCCAAATATAATCTAGCATTGTCAGAATTCCACACACACGGGATTCAAACCACGCCCACTTAGGTTGGGTTATCAAAGTTCTAACCAGTACGGTAGGATTTTCTCATTTTGTGCTAGCTTACACTATCTGTAACACTAAGACTTTTGAAATTATTCTTCATATTTCTAATGTTTGAATATTTGTTTATGTGGAGCACTTCGACAGGCAAGTTTGTCTCTCTAGATCAATTACAACTAAATAATGAGTTCGATCCTCATTGAGTGCTCCATAGTTTCGGTCATGTGCCACATCTTAATTTTGTTAGAAAATAACCATATTACTTTATAGAGTTGTGGGGAAGATATCAGTTGATTGTATACTTAAACAGGCCCAAATTGTTGTGATTGGGGAAGCTTCCTCTTGGGGTCGGTTCCACAAAGCAGCAGTTCGTGGGGTGAAGCTACTCGAGTGGAAGTTAGATCTCACCAATGGAATACGTAAAAAAAAAGTGTGGTCCACTACAATGTGTATGACATGTCGGGTCATAGTCGTGGAGATTAGATATGGTGAAACTAAGGAATGTAATACATCTGAACACTTTCCATGGATATAGTGATAGATGAGCGAGAGGCTTGCGTCGTCTTCGTCTGTGGGGAAAGGCGTTGTAAGGGGAAATAATTCATCACCCACAAGGATGGGGAAACGCTTTCGGACTGATCTGACAATAATCAAATAAATAAATTAATTTTGACTAAAAGAACAATTTGACCGAAAGATATAAATGGAGAAAATATCCAGAAAATATATGCAATCTTGAAAATATCACCCTTCAATTCAATTATTAATAACTATAAACTAGTTATTAATAAATATTTGAGCTTAACAGCTTTAACAAAATATTACAATAGCAATCATAAATATGAATGTCAGGCTTAATTTTAAGAAATAAAGATTTACAAATGAAAAGAATGAAAATTGACAAATTTCACTGAAACAGCCGTTAAACATTTCTATCTTCCTTATTTCTCTCATGTTCTCACTGACAACAAGTTTCTTTTTTTCACTTTATCTCAGTAGTGTCTCTGATAAGTTTTTTTTTTATATTTCCACCCAATCAAATTGGAATAGTCCATAATTTGAGGTATTGGCCGATCGTAGCAGTCGTACGGACGAAGGAAGAGAAAGGTAAACACACTTGTTATTATGATCACTATAAACACCTCCGTATATATTATGATCATTATAAACACCTCGGTATATATTATGATCATTATAAATACCTTGATAAGTTTATGTAGACACAAAAATCTAGCAAAATCACAGTACAGCTGTGAGAGATAACCTTTTGATAGTGATGACTGTCAGTGGACAGATAAAGCAGGTAAAGTAGTTTATGTACGGGAAGATATTTAATGGACAACAACTACATCGTTTTATTTGTATATTGTTTAAAAAATAATTTTATATATAGCTGGTGGCTTACCTGGAGTAGGAGGTGTGGTGGGAGCAGGTGTAGTAGGAGCAGCTGTAGTGGGAGCAGCTGTAGTAGGTGCAGCTGTAGTAGGGACAGGTGTAGTGGGGGCAGGTGTGGTGGGAGGAAGTGTTGTGGGAGGATCTGTAGTCGGAGCTACTGTAGTGGGAGCAGGTGTAGTGGGAGCAGGTGTAGTGGGAGCAGCTGTAGTAGGTGCAGCTGTAGTGGGGACAGGTGTAGTGGGGGCAGGTGTGGTTGGAGGATCTGTAGTCAGAGCTACTGTAGTGGGAGCAGGTGTAGTGGGAGCAGCTGTAGTTGGGACAGGTGAAGTAGGGGCAGGTGTGGTGGGAGCATGTGTAGTGGGAGCAGCTGTAGTCGGCGCAGATGTAGTGGGAGCAGCTGTAGTGGGAGCAGCTGTAGTCAGGCGCAGCTGTGGTGGGGGCAAGTGTAGTGGGAGCAGTTGTGGTGGGAGCAGTTGTGGTGGGGAGCAGTTGTAGGGGAGCTCTTGTAGTGGGAGCTCTTGTAGTGGGAGCTGCTCTAGTGGTTGTAGGCTGTGGAGGCTTAGGGAAAGGAACACATATTGCGTTGCATCCATAACGGCAGCATGTTCCTGCAAGAGTAGCATGTTAGAAAGTAAGAATTTAGAAAAACTGCAAGAATGCGAATCAAATATGACATATATATATATATATATATGTATATATATATATATATATATATATATATATATGTGTGTGTGTGTGTGTGTGTGTGTGTATATTGCAAAAGTAAATATACAGTAAATATTACCAGTACTATAATAGTTGTTCTATAATCCATTTAATAATAGAATTCATTCACAGATCGTGACACCTATCAGCGAGGTGAACTTTAATGTCAACAACTGGGCACAAATATTTATTAATTAAAAAGAATTAACAATTAATGTGTATTATTATACATAACTACATGTATAAGAATGTCGTTTTGATAAAAGTCAAAAAATAACCATAAATAATAAAAAAATCGTATATTTCCGAAAATTCCTTTATCCACAATATAGCTATTTCTGCTATGTTATAATCCTTATTAGCCAATCAATAATAATATTGAACAATTTGTTATTAATCATTAAAGTTTATTTCATTATATCTTCCTAATAGCTGTCGCAATCTGTTAATTCCTTCAAATCATTTTTATTATTTAAATTTTATAATTTTTATTATGATACATTTATTATAATTTTATATTTTTAATGAGTAATAATAATATTTTTCAGCTAAAGTGGTAAATTAACGATGGCTTGTAATTTAACTGATGAGGAGCGCAAATGTTTTGGCTTTCGTCAGTGTATACAGATACCGAAGGCGATTATCTCCCTTTGGTAGAGATAACTCACATGGGTTAGGTTGCGGATAATTTAATGACGTCACTCCATATAGTGGTGAAAGCGGCAGTAAAGTTCAGTTTGATTACAGCAGGCAAAACAAAAGGTTTCTTTCTTTGGATCACCCCCCACCGCACTGGCTTATAAAGAGGCTAAATTTGATTCCTCCGCAGCTTATAAGTCCATAGTTCCATATATTTGCTATATATAAAAATAGACTCCCCATCGCAGTCCACAATTTGGGAAAACCCATGAATCGCTGTTTTCCCTTCGTGAAATATATATACTCGACTCGGACATAGTAATTGAATCTCGACCGTTATAATTTTGTGTCCTAAATATGGCTTCTCCAAAAGAGTATCTCCATATTATATTTAGATCTTTCCTTTTTGTTTCTCCTTACATTCTACTTTGACGCGTAGATATATTTGATATATTTTTCTCTGTGCAGAATATATATATATATATATATATATATATATATATATATATATATATATATAGTTTTGTGTATGACTTAGTGATATAAATGACTCTCGAGAACAAAGCATGTTTGTCATTCTTTTTGCTTTCAGCCATCCCGTTCCTTGTGGATTACGGTGTTATTTTATTACGAATATAACAATACCCCCAAACAAAAATGGGAGAATCGGCCATTTTCCCATAGTTCTTTTCCGTTATACCTATATAGCTACACTTAACTTGTGTTAGGTAAGTGAAATATTGTCATTAAATAACATTGATTCAATAACCGATAAATGATAACTAGAGAGATCCGTGAAAATGTCACAGTTTTCCTGTTTGAATTTTATGATAAATCTTAATTCTTAAGTTAATAATTGAATAAGCTCATGGCAAGTTCTACGACAATAAAATATCTGTAAAAATGTCCCTACCGCATGACGAAATATTTGAGCTTAACAATATTAATAAAATATTGCAATAACAACCATAAATATGAATGCTAGTCGTTATTTTAAGAAGTAAGGGGGTACAAATGAAAAGATTTGAAATTGACAACTTTTTTATATTTCACCGAAACATCCGTTAAACTCTTCTTGCTTTCTTTGTTGTTTTTTTTTCATTTTCCCAGTGAAACCAAGTAGCGTCTCTGATATGTGATTTAAAAAAAAAATTTTCACGGAATCAAAATAGAATAGTCCATTATTCATGCGCTATTGACAAGAGACGTTAAACGCTTTCTTTCTTTGTTTCTTTGTTTCTTTCTTTCTTTTTCTCACTGAAATCAAGTAGTATCTTTTCCCCTCTTTCCAGGTGATCAAAACGGGATAGTCCATTATTTATGACATATTGGCAGGGCTTAATGGCCGTGTGAACTAACGAAGAGAAAGACAAGTACAATTATAATACCATTATCCAATGTAATTTTAAATGATTTTTCTCTTTAATACCGGCATATAATTTGAGCATGTATAGTAAAACATTTTCTGCTGGACATTCGAAAATGGCTGTTAAATCTACTAAATATATTTATTTTTATTAATTATTTTCTATTCTAACAACCATACTGCGGAAGAGGAAAACCTCATTTTACCACCTGTAAAAAGTCCATGAGAATATCTAATCGGGGGATCATTAGGGAATTTGTAGAATCCATACAATAAGGAAACATAGAATTACTTACCAGGGAAGCATTCTGCGTTTCTGTTACATCTTGTTTTGCATTCGAAGCTATTTCGGATATAAATTGGCGGGCATCTATTATAGTAAACTGAAGAAAAAAAGGTTAGAATCATTGATTCTTATACAGAAAGAGAGAGAGAACGAGACACACATACAGATACGCACAAACACATGCAAAACATACATACGCATACACGCACACGCGCGCATACACACACACCAGCACTCACGCATATGCACACACTTTATGAGTAGTGCATCTAGGTGTGTGTGACTGAGGCTGTTTATGTTCATTTTGTACTGACGCAGATTTGAAAGGCTTGAGTCGCTTTTCCCCTGAAGTTCGAAATAATGACACCAGTAATAGGAAAACACTTGAAATGAATCAATTACACATTAGAAAATTGGTATTGCATTTATTAACAATGGTATTATGTGTGTATGTGTTTGTTTGTTTTTTTTTTTTATGTGTGTGTGTGTGTGTGTGTGTGTGTGTGTGTGTGTGTGTGTGTGTGTGTGTGTGTGTGTGTGTATGTGTGTATTAATATGCTAACACTTTAATGTTTACCCGATTTACTGGCACTCCCAGAGTGTGGTGAAGATAAGGTAATTTTTAAATATTGACACGAAACCAAAAACAGAATAAAGGAATAATTTTATTCACTAGAGGAACAATTCATCTCAACAGATAAACGACCATCTTCAATTCCAATGTAAATTTCGAATGGTATTCTGTAATATTTCTGGTGTTATCAAACCTGGCTTTTCTTTAATCGGAATAACTTACTAAATGGTCCGTCAAGACGACCCCAGGGTTCATTATAGGGGTTCTGATTGCGTCTATATTAGGACACACAAGGAGCTACTCTACGTGGTCTGCAGTTTCTGACTAGGAATAAATAGGTCTCACAGATTGTCCATTATGAAGGCTCTTTTGGATGACACCATGATTTCTTTTAAATTCTGCCATTTACTACATTCAACCTCCTGCTGCCGATGTCTTAGTCCTAACCCTGACAGGAGGGGTGGCTTCCGGATACTATATCTTACCAAAAGGAAATCTGTGATTCGGTTGCAGGATCACAGAGGATTGAATACAGAGTTGTTCTTCACCCAGACTGACGGTCAACCACGGCTGAAGAGTCAAATCTGCTCTGCTATTTAACCCATAGATTGATAAAATGAGATGAATTTCTGCCAAAAATATTTGTGCGTAAGTGCGTGTGACAAACTCAAATGGAATTCGACCTCAGCTCTTTGATTTCTCATTCTGAGTTGCTATCTATTACAACACACACATTTTAATAATAATAATAATAATAATAAGCCGTTTCTTTAAAAGGAAACACTCAGCTTTCATTGACCGAGTAGCCAGTACTAACTTCTTTCGACATTTATAAAATTTCTATATTCAAACAATTTTTCCAGGATTATAGTTTTCTCAAGTCAGTGTAACTTATCGCTCGTTCCAGTCTTAGTATTTATCGATCCACCCACGAGGACTGAATGTGGCACAAGGCCGGTTTAATGTGGGTATCTCCGAGCCCGTAGGCTCGGCCAAAAACACAGCCTTTGAACCCGCCTAGACGGGTTCAGGCCTATCTACCTCCCCGGACGAAACCTTGCCCTTCGGCAAAGCTTCGTCCGGGTTCCTCTACTAACGCAGAGAGTTCGACGACGTCGCTTACAGTCAAAGACTGTATCATGACTCGGAAGTCTTACCCTCTCTGTCTGTCGTTCCAGTCTTGATGGTGGCTTCCTTCCTAACCTTTCTTTCGAAGCAGTGTGGAAGATCAACCTCTTGATTAAGATACTTTTAATCATTAATCTGAGAAAATAGTTGTATACAAATGACAGCTTAGATAATTTCTGAACGAGTTTGGCGCCATGCATGGCATCCAGTTGAACGTTTTGATCTGACGAGGCTTTTTAAGATCATGCCTAGAGTTTCTTTGTTTAATGTTTTGGGATTTGTAGCAACGTGCGGTATTGGGTGAAACTACATCTAGCGCAGGATATTATAACGGATGTAACAGCAAAATTGTCCAAATCGTGTAAATTGTGCAGAATTGTCCACCCACAAGTGTTTAATATCTAATAAGCCACTAAACTATTTGAGTTTCTTTCTTCCATGCTTCCAGATAAGACGTTCAGCCATCTGACACCATTTTTTGTAAGAATCACTGAAAAATCATTTGAGTTATTTAGCTAAAAAGAGAGCAGGACATTTTTTTATGTGTGTCAAAGCAACTGTCTTTGCAACTGAGAGAAAAAATATCATTCAGGAATTTAGTAATGGTACCAACATTCATATTCTGACTTTCATCTTCAAAGTCCATTCAAGAACCATTAAGAGAATGGTGAATAAGCAGAGGGAGCAGCAGAGAGGAAAACTGGATTAGGAGGTCACAACGGCAAGAGGGATCATCATTTCAACTTAGAGAACAATTAAAAAAGATCGAACTAAGATGTTTGGCACGCGAGAAAGAAGTTTCAGTTTACCTTTCTAGTTACATGTGCTACCTACTTTAGCCACGATGGAGTAATGGATAGTGGTTCGGATTGAAGAATCGGAGAGCCGAGTT